GCTCTTCCATGACCTTCTTAACCCGTCAGGTACAGTTGAGGTTGCTTGTCTGTTCCCACTTATACATGATGAAGTTAAGTAATTTAAAACATAGTGTATTCAAATCTAAGCCTGTAGAATTTGGTTTTGGAAATGTGTGTAATAGATATTCAAAATATTGGCGAAGTGCCCAGGCTTTCCGTGTGTCCTTAAGCTAACTCAGCAGGGTATCAGGAGAGGGGAGAAGAGAAGCCAGAATTATTCCTAGAATTTGCCTTGAGCAGTGGAGAGGGTACAAGTGCCGTTCACTGAGATTCAGAAGGCTGAAGAAGAAGCACCTCTGACGGGTTCGGTCAAGACTAGTTGGAATTTATGGAGTGGAGTTTGCTCTGTGTCTAAAGACAGTTTTTGTCCTTTACATGAAGGTTAATAATTCTGCTATTTTTGAACTCTTAAATCCCTCACTCCCTTCCAACAGACCTTCCAGAATCAATAAGATAAGTTCTGAAGAGCTGGTTCTGCCACTTTTAACGTAAGCTTTTTTTTCTCTTAGGCTTTTGCCAAGGTCTTCAACACAACCCCTGATGACTTGGACCTACATGTGATCTATGATGTTTCTCACAATATTGCCAAAGTAGAACAGCATGTGGTGGATGGAAAGGAACGGACTCTGTTAGTACACAGGAAGGGATCCACCCGAGCTTTCCCTCCTCACCATCCCCTCATTGCGGTTGATTACCAAGTACGTACTGAGCCATTTGTGGTTTTAAGCAGTGGGGGCATGATTTAGACAGTTCTAAATATGTAAGAATTTAAACAGGAAAGCAGCAATTGTGAAAAGAAAAGAGTCTGTCATCCATGAGAACAGTGATTTCCAGTCTCTTCTCTGAAGCATGACTCCCCCCATCATCTGTGCTTGCAGTGTGCTGTAGTGCTGCATGGAGAATATTCTACTCCATTAAGATGCACTAAGATTATCTTTTTAAGGCCTTTGAATGATTAGAAGACAGGATTAAGATTAAACTCAGTCTGTTGCATTCCTCTTATCCTTTTGGTGTCTGGCTGTGATAGAGTTAGAAAGACCCTTAACCTGCCATTTCACAGATGAGACAAGCCTGAGAGGGCAGATGTCTTGCTCCGGATGGTTCTTCCTTAAAACACTTCACTACAAATTTGAGTTTTGCTTTGCTCTTACCTTCAGGCTGTCTTCTGCTGCCGTCCTGGTCCTCACATTTTTCCTCCCATCCTCTTCCCTTCCCTCTCAACTATCAAAGAATCAAAATAATATCTTAATATAGTGGTGAGAGCAGTGCATTTAAAGGCCCTGGTTTCTCCACAGTTCTCCAATGCAAGAGGAAATTTAAATCTCAGACATAGAAAGCTCATGCTTTTCTAAATTTTAACATGTTTGATTTGTGTGCTTCCTCAGCTCACTGGACAACCTGTGCTCATTGGCGGCACCATGGGAACCTGTAGCTATGTTCTCACTGGCACTGAGCAGGGCATGACCGAGACCTTTGGAACAACTTGTCATGGAGCGGTGAGTTATGAAAACAGAAAATTACTTAGAAATGTTCTCTTCAGTGTAGTCATTGTTTTGCATTTTGACAGGTAAATGTACTTGGCTGAGCATTAACAAAGTTGAGGTTTGGGTTTGTCTTGTCTTCTACCTGAATTTTTCCCCGTAATATATACTGTCTAGTGAACTAACTGAGGTCACCAAGTATCTCGACCTTAGTGGGGTCATTGTACGGCCAGGGACTGTTCCTCAACTCTGTGAGTCCACAAAATCCAGATTGAGAAATTATCACACTAGCATAACTGATAAAACTTTACCTGATGCAAATTTACATCACAATGTATCTCAATGATTCACAGACCTAGCCATTAGCATAATTTGTTCCTTACTGGGTGGAGATTTGGAGGATACGCCCCATTTTGCAAATCAGGACCCATGTGTAGACTGCACACCTATTTCAATATATTGCCTCTTTTAAGCCAGGGGTTGGTAAACTTTCTGTAAAGCACCAGACAGTAAATATTTTAGGCTTTGGGGGCCGTAAGATCTCTGTAGCAGCTATTCTATTGTGCCATTTTAGTTGAAGGGCAGCCATAGACAATACATAAACAAATAGGTACTGCTGTGTGCTAATAAAACTGTATTTACAAAAACAGGTAATAGGCCAGATTTGGCCCCCAAACCAGTTTTCCAACTGCTCTTCTAAGCCATCAAAGTTCTTAGCTGGTGATGGAGTGGAAAATAGAAACTGTCTATGATACCTTCTCAGTAGGACAGACCCTCACATATATATTAACCCTACTTTTTTTCCTCTGATCCTTTCTCATTTTCAGTTGCCTCCCAACTCCTAACTTTAACCCAGTGATCAAAACCATCACCCCACACACATTAGCAGTGTCTCAGGGCATTTTCTGTTGTCGCAGTGGGGGAGGGGAATTGTGCTGTTGGCATCTAGTGGGTAGAGGGCAAGGATGCCGCTAAACATCTTATAATGTATGGGACAGTCCCCACAACAGTTACCTCATCCAAGATGTCAGTAAGTGCTAAGGTGGAGAAACTGTTTTAAACCACAAAGAGCACAAAGTTTTTGTGATGATAGACATACTGATTACAATTTTAAATTAACATATTTATATGTAATTGATAATAGTGATTAGATACACAAAACTAAGTCTTTAAATGCTAAATGCTTTGTAGATGTAAATTTGTCTTCCAAAAGGATGAGTCTTAAAACAAAAAGCACATTACAGTGATGATTAAATAGAAAAAGACTCTCTTATTTCTTCTTTTAGTTTAAAAAGAAGTCAGGGAAAAGGCATATGATCCTAAGGGTTTAAATAATTGCTGGGATTGAACATAAATTGGAGCTCAGAATTTATAAATGAAGTTCATTCCTTTCCCAATCTAGGGCCGTGCACTGTCCCGAGCAAAGTCAAGGCGTAATTTAGATTTCCAGGACGTCCTAGACAAATTGGCAGACATGGGAATTGCAATCCGTGTTGCCTCACCCAAGCTGGTTATGGAAGAGGTAAGTGAAATTTTGATAAGTATTCAGCATAAAACTGTTTATAATTTATGCCAGTACCCGGAGACAGCAATTTTTAGTATTGCTAATAGAAATGGTTTTTTTAAAAATCACCTCAGTTACAGTCTATCATTGTCTTCTCTTTTGTTTGGAGGTTAATTATGAGCTGGGTCCATAAAAATGATTTTTACCATTCATGTATAGTCTTTGTCTACATATTACAAGCTTTAAATTTAGTTTGAGCTGACTCATCTTAACCTTTCTTTTGCACAGCCGTATACTTAACAGTTAAATTTGAAAGCAAATTTGAAAAGATAGGGGGGGAAATGTTTGAGAAAATGGGTTTTTTTAATTCATAAGGGAGCAAAGATTTTGTTTAAATTACATGTATGTATATGTACCCATATGTACCTATTTAAATTAGAAGCAACATAACTTCCTTTTAAAAGTTTAAGAGAAAAGAAAAATTGTCATCCAGAAATTCTGTACCTTGACACAACTATTACCTCCTTTTTCTAAGATGCTTATTGCTATTTTTTCCCTAAATGCTTTTTTTAAACTGGTTATAATCATAGTTTACAAACATTTTATAGTCCTTTTTAAAATTTAACACATTATTATAATATTGTTTACATTATTTTTTAACGATTGAGAAATATTCTACTAGCTAAGTACCGTAAGTTTCTGCCCATAGTGGATATTCAAGTCATTTCCACTTCCATCTTTGCTACTCTAAATTAAGTTGTACTGTGTGTCTTCATGCATGAAGCTTTCCTCCAGATGTTTTAATAATTAGAGTGAAATCTCAAAAGCAGAATTACTGCGTTAAAGAGTATGACAAAGCTTTATTTTTTGTTTGTTTGGTTTTTTTTGTTTTGGGGTTTTTTTTTTTTTGTGGTACGCAGGCCTCTCACTGCTGTGGCCTCTCCTGTTGCGGAGCACAGGCTCCGGATGCACAGGCCCAGCGGCCGTGGCTCACGGGCCCAGCCGCTCTGCGGCATGTGGGTTCTTCCTGGACCGGGGCACGAACCCACGTCCCCTGCATCGGCAGGCAGACTCTCAACCACTGCGCCACCAGGGAAGCCCCAAAGCTTTATTTTTTAACAACTTAATTTTTCACCTGATTTTAACTAAGAGGTTTTAGAAAATACCAAGAAGAAAACATCTAGAATTCCATCAACCAGAGATAACCACTATTAATATTTGGTATACTTTTTACTTGCACATTTTACATATGATTTTTTTCATTCATCCAGCTAATACTTATTAAACATCTGCTATAGTTAGGAACTGTTCTAGGTGCTAGGGATATTGCAGTGAACAAAACAAACATAAATCCTTTCCTGTGAAACTTACCAAATAGTAAAATGTGTAGTGTGTAGAATGATGGTAAGTGCTACAAAGTAAAAATGGGAAGGGGGATAGGGAGAGACTGGGAGTGGGTGCAGTTTTAGATAGGGTGTAGTGAGGTGGTATTTGAGTGAAGACCTGAGAGGGGTAAGGGAACAGGCTATGTGGGTATCTAGGGTTAAGCTTTCCAGGCAGGGAGGATGGCAAGTGCAGAAACTCTGAGGCCAGATCATAACTTGGAGGTTCAAGAAACGGTGTGGAGGCCAGCGTGACTGGAGCGAGCAAGAGGTTAGAGAGGTAGGGGCACCAGATCGTGTGGGTCCTTGTTTTTTCCTTTACAAATGGATTTTTGCTCTTCATCTGAGTGAGATGAGGGGAAGACTTGGGAGAATTTTGAGCAGAAGAATAACATGATCTAACTGATGTGTTTGCATGCTGTTGAGAAGAATCTAGAAGAGAAATCAGTGATGCAGGAAAGAGTGGGGAATTACTAGAGAAGTGTCCTTGAGTAGATAAAAGGAGATGGGATCAGGTGGGGTTGGTCTTTGCTAGGAGCTTAGGTAATTCATCCTTAACAAAAGGAGAGAAGGTACAGATGCTGGTAGTCAGGGAAGATATGGTAAGAGAGTTTATGGAGATTCTGTTCTGGTTGTTTCTGTTTCTTCAGTGTAATAGGAGGTAGGGCCAGCAACTGAGAGTGAGGATGCAGGAGAAGGTATAAAATCATCATCTAAGAAAGTGATTGGCCTAGTGAAATTTTGGGTGATTGCCAGGACAGCGTCAAGGGCCCACGTGAGCTTAAATTCAGTGGTTGGGTGTTTTTCAGCTACATCCAACTGTATAGGTGCAGGCATGAAATAGATGTTGAGTTTCCTTTAACCAGGGTTGCAAGTACGACACAGTAAACGAGAAGCAAGGTTGTTGAAGGGTGTTGCAAAGGGATTGTGGGTCTCATGGGGTTAAAGGATTGTTGGAGGTGGAAACCTAGGCTGTCTAGGGTGCTGGGAGCTGAGACTGGAGGAGTTGTAATCATTGGTAATGACGAGTTCTGGGGGATGACTGGGAGAGAATGGCCGAGGTAAGCATTGAAGGAGCGGGAATCAAGAAACTAGGAAGCCGAGTTACTGAAAGAATCCTCTTCCTGGATATTGAAATCGTTCTGAATTATAGCAGGAGAGGGTGAGGGTGACCCAGGAGCTACAAAACTTCAGGTAACAATGGGGATCAGACTCTAGCAGATGATTGCAGCAACAAGAGTAGTGGGTGGTATAAATGGTGACTGCAACATTTCAAAACTGGGAGAAAGGAGGGAGAATGGTCTGAAAGGAATCATGAAGAGCAAGGACACCTGTCCCACCTCTCAACCTAATGGCATGACCCAGTTTGGGAGAGAAAACAGCTACCACTTCAGAAAGCTGGAAGCAGAAGTAATATCCTCAGCGGAGGTCCATGTTTCAGCAAGAACAAGAAAGTGAAGGGAATGTTTAAAGAAGAAAGGAAGAAGTCCTTTACCTTTGACTCAGTGGAAGGAGTTCAGAGGCCACAGTGGAAATGTTTCAGAAACTGGAAAGGAGTAGGAGATGAGCTAGAAAGGGGTGTGTACAGAGCCCCCACGGGAATCAGTCTGAGAGGCCTAAGCTTGCTGTGTTGACATGAATGGAGATAAAGGGTGTGTGTGGTGAGATTTGTTCTGATGGTGGCAAGACAGAAGGAAGGGTGGAGGTCTTACTAGAAACTCACAGAAATAAATTTTATGTGTATGTATGTATACCTATGTATGCATGCACATATGTAGTGTTAGTTATATATATGAATGTAATAACCTTTCCTTATTGTGAAGGTTATACATGGTCATTCCAGGAATTTTGACAACTGTAGAAATATCTAATAAAAGAAAATCAAAATTGCCAATAACTCCACCATCCAAAGACAGTTGCCACTAACAGGATGATTTGGTTCATTTCCTTCCAGTTGGGTATTAGTGTATATGCTTTATTCAATTACATTTACTGCTTTTCCTATTTATACAAGTGATATATGTTCTTTGGGGAAATTTAGAGAAATACAGAAAATATATAAAACAAGATGAGAGTGTTATACTACTCCGTTACCAACACTGAGCTTAATCTTTTTTTAAACCTTTGCCTATTTGATAGGCAAAAAAAAGAAAAAAACAAAACCAACTCAGTACTGTTTGAATGTGCATTTTTTAAATTACAAGTGAACATTAATGCTTTTAAAGATTCCATTTTAAGTAGACTTTTCCTCCCCTGCAGGCACCTGAGTCCTATAAGAATGTGACTGATGTGGTGAACACCTGCCATGATGCCGGAATCAGCAAGAAGGCCATTAAACTGAGACCGATTGCTGTTATCAAAGGATAGAACCCTGACCGCAGCCACCGGACACCACTGACCCTCACTGAAGTGGACGTGGACTGAAATGCTCTTCAGACATCAGACTCGAGACCTGACAGGTTCCAGGGTGTGCAGGTGTAGCTGCCTGTTCCAGAATGGCTGGTGGGGAGGCTCCTGATTCAGGAACCAATGTTGTAAACTTTCCTCCTGGGAGGAGTCACAATGCCTTCATTTGGAAAGGGATGTATATGCTTCCTCCCTGATTATCCCACAGGTTTTTAGGAAAGTCTGTTAGGGGGTGGGGGTAAGTCAAGAAACTGCCTTACTCAGTCATACAAGTCTTTAATCATCAGAATGAAGTTCTTTACACCAACCTTTGTTTCCAGCCTGAGAGGTGTCATGAAGAACATTGTATTAAATAGGAAGGTTTTGGAATGTTTCTTTTTGCCCTGTTTGTCAGTTTATCCATTTAGCCACTCATATACCCCCTTCCCCTGCACTGAGCAAAACCCTAAATACCATTCTTACTTGGAGCATATAAAAGGGTCATAGCAAGATGTTAGATGGATGAGACACGTTATGGAGGGGTTATGTGTGGAGGTGTAGGGATAGGGACCCAAAAGAGAAAGTAAGTCATCATAGACTTGCTACCTTTGTTATTCTAACTATAAGGCAGACTTCTGACTTCCCTGTAAAAATGGCATCAGCTGGTATCTTTAATTAGGCCTAGTCTGGCAGACTTTTCTTGAATAATAACACAGCAGCAGCAGAGAACCCTCAGATAATACAGATATCTTTACATTTATGATTGAATTATTATAAAAGCATCAAATGGCTGCAGCTATGATGTTAATGGTTACTCTGTGTTGACAGGTTGGCTAGTCCTTGTGCCACCTAATATATACTGTGACACCCAAAGATGTTAACGTTATAGGTTACTAAGGCCATAGTTGAGTCTAAATAGCCAGTAAAATAGAAGAATCTAATAAAGTTGAAATATGTTGTTTATATTTTGTGCTTAATGTTTTATGGCTTGGGATAATTAGTATTTTTTCTTGGTTCACTTTGGACTGTGTTTCTGTTTTCTTATTTTCTCCCTGGTTGCTTTCAGAGATGCACCCTAAAAGATATTCTTTTCTAACACTTATCTCTCAACATATAATAAAACCCCCCATTGGAGTGTCTTCTAAATGCTGTTTGGAAGACTAGAGAAAAGCAGACTTCCTCTGAAAAATGTATGATGTGAAATAGCATGTCTTGACTCTGAGCACTCAGTAACTTTAATGGTTTTGATGGTAGAGTTTGAAAGTTATCAGTAAGTTAGTAATTGTAATGCAATAATTATGCATTAGTTATGCCTCCAGATTGGCCCAGCAACTGTTGTGCACAGATGACTTAAGGATGTAGGTTACCTGTGAACACTGGAGGGCATTTAAAGATGAGAAACAGGCTTCTGGCAAGTGCTAGATTCTCTAGAGATGAGGCAACACTGAGTGTCTGAGTGGACGTCCTCTAACTGGGCTTTCCCAACAATGTTGTTTGAAACTGATTCATAGCAAAGTCCTCTCCCAAAACTAACTGATGTCAGTGCAAGAAATGCTGCAGATCGTCTTAAATACATAGGTTGCGTTTTATTGGATGCTTTGAAAGTCACTCTTTGGGAAGGGAAGAGGGGAGCAGGTGAGGAGGAGAAATAGAGAAGGATGGTTTGTGCCATGGCATTTCTGTATTATAAGCTTTTCTTATATGTAGCATTTCTACCAAACTTGACCCTATTAATGACCTTGGAAAGTAATGGTTAATATTTTGAGTTCAAAAAGAAAATTACAAACATTGTTTTCCTTGTTCTAAAGATGTTATTTTCCCATTTGAGGCAAAAAGCCACTTAAAAGTGAATGTTCAAATGAGGCTGATGTAACAGACTGTTTTTACTGCCCTGAGTAAAAGAACCCCATGCCTGGGCACATGGATGCAGCTGGGAAAGCCCTTTGATAAGGCACTGTCTGGTTTTCTCAGGCATGAAGATGAATCTTATTACTATGCACATACTGGTCCCTTTTTCAGGCCTCTAAAGTCAGTAGGTTTATCATTAATATTTTCAAAAGCACTGCTGTTCACACATTGATGATGGGCTGTATCATTCCTGTCATCAGCATATGGTTGGGAAAACCAGTTCATGAGATATAAACAAAATAAGAACATTCACTAATTTTCTAATTTTGTGAATATTTTGTGGAGGAACTGAAGGTTTTTTTTAGGTTTTCCTATTTTGTTCTGCGTAAGACTGCTTTTTTCCCCTCGTGTTCATTTTAAAGTTTCTTTCTCCTATTTCTGAAAATTGCCTTTAAGCATCACCTATATTGCTGAAGTGTTTGCAACTCTCTGTGCCTGCTATTCCAGTACACAACTAACATAGCCTCTCTGTCCTTACTTCTCACCTATGTCCTTATTGTTACATCTGCTCCATTGCTTGACTATGTGGGATTTCCATGTGTCCAGAGAGCATTATTTGGGTCCATCTGGATCAGTTGAGTTCGAAGATGCTGTTAATTTATTAATCAAGCACCTTGGAGTATGCGAAGTTGTTAGGATAGATTCTGATCTTTAAAAGATCTTGCTTTAGGGCTTCCCCAGTGGCACAGTGGTTGAGAGTCCTCCTGCCGATGCAGGGGACACGGGTTCATGCCCCGGTCTGGGAAGATCCCACATGCCGCGGAGCGGCTGGGCCCGTGAGCCATGGCCGCTGAGCCCGCGTGTCCGGAGCCTGTGCTCCGCAACGGGAGAGGCCACAGCAGTCAGAGGCCTGCGTACTGCAAAAAAAAAAAAGATCTTGCTTTAAAACTAATATCTGAAACACCAGTGATCCAAAGAGAAGATAATGTTATAAGGGGAACATGTCATAGAGAACTGAGTGGTGACTGAAGTTGTACCTTGCGGACAGACATGTTGTAAATGAACAAAGTGCCAAGCATATAGTAGGTGCTTTAACACATTAAAAATCACCATTCCTGGGGTGAGGGGTCAGAAAAAAAAAAATCACC